GACCTATTCTCGGGGGCCTGCTTCTGAACCACCTTGGGGGACATGAAACCCTGCGCTTGGTGAACTCCTAGAGGGGAGGGAAGCAGTTCAGTTCCCCGGGCCTGGGCTGAGGCTGGGGACAGCTGGTGCCTTTGCTGTTCTTTGGGGCAGAGCAGGGACTGTGGTTTCTGCATGTCTTGGTCCAAGGAAAGAAGTGAAGCACTCTGCTTCCCACCCACTCCCTCGTGACAGTAACACACTGCCAAGAGGTATCTTTGCTGGAAAGTGTGACCCTGCCTGAAAGATGCCTGGGGGGAGAGAGACGCTACTCTCCAGTCCAGCAGAGTGTTTTTGTTTTTTTTAATGAAATTATACATCTCTATGAGACTTAGAAACTCCAACCCACCCCGTGCTGACGACCGGGGGCAGGGGGCCGCAGTTCAGTCCTCTGCGGCTCCGCCACAGGCAGGAACTGGGGGCCCCTGCTTGATTCCCAGCAAGCTGGAGATCTTCAGCTGCACCAGCTGCACCATGGACTCCTCCTCGGAAACCTGCAAGAAGGCGAGGAGTGCTGTGGTGGGCCTGGCTCCCTCCAGGAGGTGGGGAGGAGCTGGTCAGCGCTCTGCTTACCTTCACAGCCTTCATCTCCCTGCTGAAGACTGTCAGGAGGGCAGAGACAAGCAGGTTGAGGACCACAAACACCATGGAGAGGATGCTGGTGACCAGCAGGAGGGAGCCCAGCACAGGGTCCAGGGCAAGGACCTAGGCCAGACAAAGAGCACAGCACAGGCATTGGTGCTGCTGCTGCTGCCGCCCCCTGAGCCTTCCCAGCTGGACTCTCCCACCCAGCCTGAGATGTGCCAGGGTAGAACAGTGCCATCATACTCATTTGGGAGGAGAGCTGGATTTGATGTACATTGGACTTTGTGGGCCAGACCATGTCAGTCATAAAATGCAATTTGGCATGGTGATTAAGTGTGCGGACTCTAATCTGGGAGAACCAGGTTTGATTCCCCACTCCTCCACTTGCACCTGCTGATGTGACCTTGGGCAAGTCGTAGTTCTGTCAGAGCTGTCCTTGAAAGGCTAGTTCTCTCAGAGCTCTCTCAGCCCCACCTACCTCACAGGGTGTCTGTTGTGGGGAGGGGGAGGAGTTTGTAAGCCACTCTGAGTGAAGGGGAGGGTATAAATCTGATCTCTCAATGCCAGTCAGCACAGATATAAACTTTATAAGCAACACAGACAAACACTATTAAAGATATAATAGCAGCTATTCCATTGGAGCCCACATTAGGAGGATGTATGTATTAAAACTACTATTTCTCTGCAAAACAAGTTCCTTGGACTTTATATTTTAACTGTGGTTAGTCCTAAACCTCCCCCCTCCCCCTAAAAATAGAAATATACTTGGTCTCAGCCTAGAACCCAGGGGAAGAACATGAAATGCCTGAGGATTGCAAGCTTCACCCGACCCCACCCCCGGTCTACTCAGAGTGGCAATGGCTCTCCATGATCTTGGGTTTTTTTACAGGGTGGTTTGAGATAGGGTGTCCTCTTCACTTGTTCTGCTACTATTCCTTTGGAGCTCCACATTAGGAAGATGTGTATGTGTGTGTTAAAACTAATATTTCTCTTCAAAACTGGAGTCCCGTGTGTTTGCAGAAGTCTAGATTTTAAGCCTGGCTGGTCCCAAATCCCCCCCCATGCTCTTAAAACATGCTTGCCTAAATGAGAAAGGTGGGATAATAGTGAGATTTTGCAAAGCAATAAAAAAAAGAAGCAGCAGCGCCAGATTCACAGCAGAAGGAACGCGCTCCTACCCGTGAGGAGGATTACAGAGGCCAGGAAGTTTGGCTGCCTCACCCTCTGCACTCCAAGGCAGCTGACACTCAGAACAGCGAGGGTGGACAGGGGAAGGGGGGGAAGGACGAGAGCTTCACTCCCAGGCTGGATTAAAGGCCTGGGGGGGGGGCAGTCCTGGCCCATGGGCCGTAGGTTTGACACCCCTGCTCTAGAGAGCATCTGCCACGCACTCACCGCTTCATAATTGAATATCCCAGCCAGCAGCCCCACAATGGTCACTGCCGAGTCAGAGAAGGTCTTGAAGTTGACGATGCTCCATCCAAACAGGAGGTTACACTGGAAGGTGCCAGGAGAACAGAGAGGAGGAGGAGGAGGACAAGGGGCGTGTGGGTGGCAGGAGAGCCTGTTCCAGCCCTGGCCCTCAGGGTCCTCCTCTGTCTGGTCAGTGGTGGTAGAAGGCTTTGTTCCCCCTAAGCTGAGTTAGTGTGAGCTGGCCTCACGCATTTTTGTCTTCGCTCAGGAAGGATGGCTCCAAAGCAAACTAATTGATGCATCAGCCAAATCGCACGCTCGCTCACAAGACTCCACAGTGGAGAGGGAGGACTGGTAGAAGGCCCTCTGCCACTGTGGAATGCCCCAAAGGGAAGTGGGTGCTGTCGCCTGGCCACCCTTCCGGTCCCCCTCCCACGACGGGCTTTGTGGGGCCAAAGCAAGAAAAGAAGGGGCTCTCCCACCCCCACGGGAACACTCCTGTGTCTGACAGGCAGGCAACACGGGCAGCCACAGGGTCTCGCCCGCTCTGCTCCTCGGGCTGCTTGTTCTCCCTCTGAGACGGAGGACATCTGTATGGGTTATTCCCACCGTGCTATCAGGGAGGCAGGAACTAGTTTTTTCTCCTTCCTGTTGGCGCCCTCGGAATAGCCCCGCCTCAGTTCTGTTCCTGCCTCACCAGGGAGCAGCAGCTTAGTCAGCTAGCTACAGCTAACTTTCAAGAGAATTCTCCTTCTTTCCTTTTCTTTCTAAAGTTTAACCTTATCTTGCCCTCTTTTACTCTCTTTACTACACTTTACTGTACTTCAGCCTTTTTTCCTTTACTCTGTTTCCCGACCTCCTTTCTCTCCCTTTGCTCCGGGGGAGCGAAAACGCCGGGACTTTAAGTCCTGAAGAGCCCAAAAGACATATCTGGATGATCCGCTGTGGCCCTGCTGGGGTGTTGCCCTGACCGGCATAGGCCAGGCAGCTGCTTGCACCCTTCTTACCGCAAAGGCATAGCCAATCAGGAGCACTAGAAGGGTGAGCAGGAATCCTGGGATCTCGTCCCAGGCCTTCTGCAGGGTCCGTGTGACAAGATGCATCCGGGGATTCAGGCGAAGCAGATTCCACAGCTTGACGGTTGTCAAGGCCACCAGGAAGGCAATCAGGTAGGTGAGCGCTGCGTCTGTGTTTGCCACCTCCGAGACCCGGAGAAACCTGCAAGGAAGCCACAGGGGCTTGGCCGGCAGGGGTGGAGCTGCGTGTGCCCCAGAGCCAGACAAGGGCCACATCTGGGCAGCCTCCTGGCACGTGCCGCCACACACTGACCTGCTGCGGTCTTGGCGATGCTCCCTCAGGACACTGGCTGCCAGGAGCCCCCTCCTCACATACAGGCCCACCACGGTCAGGCTGATGAGGACACTGAAGGCATCCAGCAGGTTCCCCTTGGCGCGGAAGTGCCTCCATCTCTGCCGCTTCAGGCCCCGGCCCTGCGTTTCACCGGGGGGGGTGGGGAGAGATTGTGTGTGTGTGTGTGAAAAGGCAGCTTCTGCCCGGCCAGGTGTTGTGGATGGCAGTGTGGACTCTGGGCCCTCCTTCGTGGAGGTGCCACGGATCCTGCCTGTCAAAAACCCAACAGACCTGGCTGGAACTCCCCGTAAAGCCCACTGCTCACCTGCGCCACAATGTCGTACAGGAGCAGCAGGAGGAAAGCGAGGTGGGCACAGGCCAGCGGAACAAGCATCTGGCTGCTGGGGTAGAGCCGCAGGATCTGCAGGGCGGTAGAGCTGGCGACGGCTCCTGCCGAGGGAGCACAGTTGGGCCGGGGCATGATGGGGCTGGGAGGGAGGCCGAGCAAGGCCACCACCACCACGCAGTCCGGGACCAGGCCCCAGAGCCACTCTCCTCTTTGGAAGGCACATCCCCGGCCCCCACAGCCCCGCCATCGGGCCCATCTCCACCACCACCACCACCACCCCTGCTTGCCTGGCCCGTTGCTCTCCAGCATCACCGTGACGGCGCAGAAGAGGTTGACGTTGGCGTTGTAGACCGTGAATTCCACCAAGACAGCTGTCGTGCACTGGTCCAGCCACTTATCCTGTGCCAGAGCATGGAGGATTCTAGAGGAGACAGGGATGCGAGCTGGCTGCCTCATTACAGGACGGGAAAGGAGGGGATGGTTGTATGCGGGTTTGCCCTTGAGGCTGAGCCAGAAACTCCAGCTAGTGCAAAATGCGGTGGCCCACCTGTTGACTGCATCGCCTGTGCTAAATCAATTGCACTCACTACCCATTGAGTACCGGATCTGCTTCAAGGTGCTGGCATTGACCTTTAAAGCCCAGTGTGGCCAAGGACTGGCATATCTGAGGGACCACCATGCCCCATATGTGCCCCAGAGAGTTTTCCGCTTGGAGGACATCCACTTGGCCTCAGCCAGGGCCTTTTCTGCCCTGGCCCCAGCCTGGTGGAACAGGCTCCCACCTGAGATCAGGGCCCTGCAGGACCTATTACAGGTCCGCAGGGCCTGTAAAATCTATTCCGCCTCCCTTGCTGGAGCTCTCCACCCGACACAGCCCATCTGAGAAGACTTTATAGCCTGGTTTACGGCCTAGCTGCTCCAGTTCTTCCAGAAGACCGTATTTGTAGTTTACAGTGCCATCTGCTCTCAACTTACAGTTTCTTGTTTTTAACTATTTTAACTACTTATTTCTTATACCTGTTTTAATAGTTATTGTGGAATTGCTGCTGCAATCTGCCCTGAGCCCACTTGCGGGGAAGGCGAAATATAAGTTGAATAAATAAAAATAAATTGATCTGTCTCCTAATGGGCTAACGTAGGGCACCACTCTCCTCCGTTGGGGTGTTCTAGACAAATAAGAGACTAATAGGCAAAGTCCAGACTGAGTCCTAAAGGACTCACTTTGCAGAGCCCTTGTTAGGGAGAGCTCTCATCCAGATTACCCGAGTGGAGTTCAAATCCAGGATTAGTGTACCTCTAGATACCAGGCCAAATGACTGCAGAGACCTACTGCCTTTCCGTTCTGCCCCAAAGCACCTGATTTGCAAAGAGCATGCTGTGTATGCACCAGTTCTGCAAGAAGTCCTTAACTTATCCTGGCAATTACACACTCCTATGTCTCTTCTGAATTCTGTGCAAGCTGGAAATCAGAGTTGGGAAGAGTTTCCTACTTCTCAAGGCCCAGATGAGGTGGCCAGTGAATGGAGAACTTCCTGGAAATGCAAGCTAAAATGACAGTGCCACAAGACTAGAGAGTACGGCGGAGGGAACACCTGCCAGTTTATCCAAACAAACTGGAGAGCCCCCGCTGTTTCTCACCCCTGCTCCCTCCCCCACAGTCACCAGACATACCACTTTGGTCCTGCAGGTGAGAAAACGCAGAGGATGGGGGGGGATAGAGTCCCACCAGGCAGCTCAGCACTGGGGGCCGGGACCCATGCAGCTCGCTCTCTTGTATCTCTCCTGGTCCCCCTACCTGTTGGCGTGGCTCGCATTTCTGCCAAGATCCGCCAGGTAGCCCCCTCCTGGATAGACGGCAAACGTCCCCCTGGTCGGGTATTCTGCAAGGGTGGTCTCACTCTGGTAGACCCAGGCGTTCTCCTGTGCTCTGCCGCGAGGCCCCCAGTGGGGGCGGGGGCACCCTCTGTCGTCCTCATGCCGGGGCCAGAAGAATGCTGGCCCCGTCTCCTCAGCCCGGATCTGCCGGAGCCGCACACTGCCCACCAGGAAAGCGCTGGCATCCCTGGCCGGACCTGGAAGAGAGAGCAGTGGAGCTGCGGCTTGGACGGCCACCGTGAGCCCGGAGAAGCAGCCCCCCCACCCCCGCGTGTGAAGCTGGGAGGAGGGAAGCCAGCCGGGCTGCCGAGAAGGCCGCCACCGCCGGAGCTCTACGAGGCGCAGGCTCCTCTTTGTGCCCCGCTGGACCCTGGGGTGCCGGCCTCCTCTCACCTTCCGAGTAGAGGCTGGGCAGCAGGGTGCGCCTGGCCCAGCTGTACAGCTGCTCGAGATGCCGAATGTTGCCCACGTGGCGCGTGAAGCTTTTCTGAAGGGCGTCGTTCAGGTGGAACTCGCTGGGGCTCCTCTCGGCATAGCAGAGGACCATCAGCACGGCCAGGAACGTGAGCTGTACTGGGGGCAACCGAAAGGGGGGGGCTGGGGGACTCCATCCTGCACCTGCCCTGTGCTGAGGGCTGCAGGAGGAACCGTCTCAAGGCAGCCAGTTCCAGCAGAACAATCGTGTTCTGCCCACCCCCCAACCTCGCTGACGCTGCATTTCAGGAGAGGTCCTGAGTCTGCCAGGGGTGCAGGAAGAGACGCACAGGTTTGGGGGGTGAAAAGTGGAGGAGGATTGAAGTAAATCAACGAGTCGATCTTTCCAGCAAGCTGCCCGCCATAACTCCAGGATCTCGCTTCGGGTCAGCTGCTGTCAGTTCAGATGGCTTTGAGCCCAAATGTGCCTCCGTTTACACGGATACGGACCTCCGCCTGCGGTGTTGTGGGAGAGCTCCTTTGACAGCTCTCCCCAACCAGCTGTGGTCCTCGGCCTTCTGGATCAGGGCCACCCTAGTCCCAAGCAAGGTGCGGCCTGAGCCCCCAGATGGGGGGCAGGGGGGGCACACGGACCCGGAGCGGAGACTCAGCCACTGCCACGGCAATGGAATTGGTGCGTGGGGGCCACACCTGACTGCTTCCTCCCCGTGCGGATCACGCATCACCGCTACAGCAGCGCGCCCGCACCACTTGCAGGACAGCCCAGCCGGTGGGTGGCACGTCAGAGGCTGGCGGCTGACCTGAAGCCACTGCTGACTGCCACGACTCTGGAGAGGACGTCAGCGGAGGCATCCCAGCAGCTGAGTGGTCAGTCGGTCGGTCGGGGTCCTCCTCTCCCCCTGCTGGGCCCAGGGCACTTGGGTGCCATCGGCCACCTTGCTGCTCCCTCCGGATCATTTGCGAGCAAATCAAAGGCCACCAGCCCCGATACTGACCCCCCCCCACAAACCCTCCATGCCCCCGCCCCTCCAGGTCTGTCGATGCCTGCTCCCTGCCACTTCACCACAAGCCTCCACCAGCTTCTTCTGGGGGGAGGGGCCGGAAGAAAGGAGTTCCGGGACCCCTTTGACAGGCAGGACTCTTTTGCGTTCTGCCAGGTCTCCCCCCCCCCCCTTT